ACAACAAAGGTTAGCTTTGCTTTAGAGACTGAAGAAAACACTGCTTCAAGACCACCACATTACAGACTATAAAGTCCAGATGTATAGAAGTAACGCAGACAACTGCCATTTACCTCCATGTTGCCCGATAATATCCATGCAGTAGTAGTACTAGTAAAAGTAATTCGTTCTAGTTCATACTCTGAGTACTTTACATACGTACTCATTTCATCTTGCTACAAACCCTATGAGGTATATATTATTTCCATCCCTATTTTACCGATTAAGAAACAGAGCATAGAAGTAAATTGCCAGTATTGCACAACTATTAATTGTAGGAACTGGAATTTGAACATGGACATTCTGTCTCCAGAGACTGTTTTTAATCTCAGGGGTTGGCAAACTTTTTGTAAAGTAAATATTATTTTAAAAATCCTTTAAAAATGTAGAACCAATCATAGCTCACAGGAGGTTATAAAAACAAGTTGCAGAACCACTGTCGCTTGTGGGCCATGTGTAATCTGCTAGGTAATACTGTACAGGTTGATCAAACTTTTAAGCACACAGTGGATATGCTATCCCATACTCCTTTAAGGCAAACCCTATATGCCTATAATAGGATTTCTGTTGACACACAGTCCTGACGTCCACAGTCCTGACATCATCTCTCTCATTTTGTCTGAATTTATGAAGCTTGGTTGCCTTTTCCATCAGCCTTCCTTCAAATTAGTAATGCTGTTGGACATTTAAGAAAGGACTATATGGATAGTATAAGAGCTTATTTTCCATTCACTGTCAACCTGTTATTGGCTTTTTCTCAGTTATTGGGTGTATTATTATTCAGGGAAGTGACTTTAGGCACTATGGCATCAGACTGGAGTCAGTCCTTTCTTTGATTAACTAGAAATAAAAGCATAAAATAAGATGCAGTTTCTCTAAAATTTTAAGATTGTCACTTTTCTGGGACTTAACCTGACATTAATTGACAGTTCTGCTAGTAGAAATTTATCAGCAACCTGGCATCTAATCCTTTATCATTTTCACTAAAGCTTAAAATGGTTTATAAAGAGACATGGTTCATGAAATGGATTAATATCACAATGGAAGCTCATGCTTCTAGGTATCTGCTATATATTGATACTTGGAGATGCAAAACATCATCACAGTATTTTAAGCTAGGCTGCACATGAAGGAACCACTATGAGTTATTAGATTTGCTAGGGGTGAAATCTTGGGCTTGCAAATAAATCTTGATTTTTTTTTTAACACTTATGTAGTTCATGAAGTCTAACTCAGCTTCATGTAATGAGTGTGAGGAAATCATTGCATTGGTTATTTCAATTTGAAACAAGAGGAAACTTATAAAAGAGTTTTAATTTATGTTGACAAGTCATATTAAAATACAGACAAAAAATTAACTCATGATACAGTACATATCTATCTACACACATTATGTAAAACTGAAACAAAAGTTTCAGAGTCAATACTACTGTAACTACATTTAAGACATTTTTGTAAAAAAAAAAAGACATTTTTGTTATTTTCTTATCTATTCTATGCCATTTGATTTTTTAATGCTTTTTACTACCACTAAATTGATTTATTACCACTAACTTATTAATGACTCCTGACTTAGTCTGCAAAATACTTCCTTAGAAGATCCATGTTCTCACATGGCTCTTGTTTATAAGAAGCAATTGTTTGGGGGTTCCTCTCTATCTTTACAGCTTACTTTGATTTATTTGCCAAATAAATAAATGTGTAAATCACTGTACCAGGCTCTATGGGAAGTACAAAGACATGCCTTCAACTATTTCAAGTCAGGAATTTTCTGAGTTGCCAGGAAAACAAAGGTGAAACAAAGATTACTAAACAACATATAATCTCTGCCCTCACAGAGTTTCTGATGTAGCAAATAAAATAAACTCAGTACCAAGGAGTTTGAGAACATTACACAGTCAAGTGAATGACTTAAGTAAATAGTTTTATTAGCATTTTTCCATATAAAAGGGTATTTTCTTGTCTAGAAGGGTCAGTCCCTTTTTTTGTTTTTAAAGATGAGAAAATAAAGACTCAGAATCTTAAAGGCTTAAAGACTTAAATATAAGACAAGATATCGTGAAACTCCTAGAAGAGAACATAGGGAAAACATCCTCTGACATAAAGTGTACCAATGTTTTAAGATAGTCTTCCAAGGCAGCAGAAATAAAAGCAAAAATAAGCAAATGGGACTTAATCAAACTTACAAAGTTTTGCACAGCAAAGGAAACCATAAACAAAACAAAAAGACAGCCTACAGACTAGAAGAAAATATCTGTAAACAATGCAACTGACAAGGGCTTCATTTCCAAAACAGACAAACAGCTTGTACAACTCAACAAGAAGAAAACCAAACAACCCAATCAAAACATTGACAGAAGACATTAACAGACATTTCTCCAACAAAGACAGACAAATGTCCAATAGGCACATGTCAAGGTGCTCATTATCACTAATTCTTAGACAGATGCAAGTCAAAACTACAAAGAGAGACCAAAAACCAGTCAGAATGGTCATTATTAAAAAGTTTATTTATGCGAAGAGCTAATTTACTGGAAAAGACCCTAATGCTGGGAAAGACTGAGGGCAAGAGGAGAAGGGGGTGATGGACTATAAGATGTTTGGATGGCATCACTGACTCAACCGACATGAATTTGAACAAACTCAGGGAAATAGTGAAGGATAGGGAAGCCTGGCGTGCTGTGGTTCATAGAGTAGCAGAGAACTGGACCCAACTTGGTGACTGAACAACTACAAACAACAAATGCTAGATGGGGTGTGGAGAAAAAAGGAACTCTTTTACACTACTGGGGGGAATATAAATTGGTGCAGCCACTATGGAAAACAGTATAAAGTTTCCTGAAAATACAGAGTTGTCATACAACTCATACAACATACAAAATACAGCAATGTCATTGCTGTCATTGATCCAGCAATCCCATGCCTGGGCATACATCCAGACAAAACTGTAGTTCTAAAAGATATAGGCAACCTTATGTTCATAGCAGCACTATTTACAATAGTCAAGACATGGAAGCAATCTAAATGTCCATTGACAGGACTGGATAAAGAAGATGTGGTATACTTATACAATGGAATATTACTCAAATTTAAAAAAGAATGAAATAATGCCATCTACAGAAACACTGATGGACTATATATCAGACTAAGTCAAGTAAGTCAGACAAAGATGATCATATGATATCACTTATACGTGGAATCTTTAAAAAAGTGACATAAATGAACATATTTATGAAAGAGAAACAGACTCAGACAGAGAAAACAGACTTGTGGTTGCCAAGGGGGAAGAGTAGGAGTGGGAGGGATGGATTGGGAGTTTGGGATTAGCAGATGCAAGCTATTTTATATATGATGGATAAACAACAAGGTCCTACTGCAGTACGGGATACTATATTCAATATTATGCGATAAACCATAATAGAAAAAATATGAAAAATATGGAGAGATGTACAACTGAATCATACTACTGTACAGGAGAAATTAACATGACACTTTAAATCAACTATAATTTAATAAAATATTAAAAAATACTTTGTCATTTATCAGAGTTACACCACTCTTTTCAGGTTAAATCCAGAATTATTTGTGATAGACATGCTGTCTCACATAATTAAATGGCTTTTTTTTTGCTGAAATAAAGTGAGTTGTGTGTTAAGTAATGATTATGAAGTCACATTAAAAAAACATTTCAACCTTGAGAAAGCTTGGAAGATGAGTGGTTCCGTTACTCATCTTTCTTTCCTTCAAAAGCTAATCCGATTAATTTTAAAATCAATAAATCATGTCTTTTAAAGAGAAGAATAGAACCTTTTAGTATTTTGCAATTTTTTCTGATTTAATTCTTAAAAGCCCTCATTTGGAATTTTACTCATCTAAATCCCTATTTCAAAAACCACAAAAGATAGTGGACATTTTCTCAAGATCATCAAGGCACATAACCAAATCTTGTCACCTTTCTGGGAGAATCTATGCTTTGTTCTCTTCACCAGCCATTTCTTGAGCACTGACCCAAGAGGCCACGCTATCATAAACTAAATATTTATTGCTTCTGACTCCTGGAAGGAAACGTTTTATTTTAAGTTGACATATAGTTTATTTAAAATGTATTAGTTTCAAGTATAAAACATAGTGATTTAACATTTTTATAGATTATATTCCATTTAAAATTAAGGGGTGGAAATGGGAATTTTTTTTTTTTTGGTCACGTCATGTGGCATATGGGATCTTAGTTCTGTAATCAGGGATCAAACCCAAGTCCCCTGCAGTGGAAGGGCGGAATCCTAAGCACTGGACTGCCAGGAATTCCCTCAGGGTGGAATATTTAAATGGCAGATGTAAAAGTTCATCCCAACTTCAAATGAATTTTATAAAATAGACTTTAATGCTCATATTTATTCTCCTCTGTTAGATATTCATGCCTTGGGGATCAACTCATTGTATAAACTTACATGTGTAATAGTTTCTTACTTGGGAAAATTGAAATTATTTTGATACATGAAGGAGTGGTCATAATGAGAAAACAGATAAGGAGAAGATGTTTAAAGTGCAGACCCTCAGTGGCAATGTATGCACAGAGGACCAGGTCTCTGGACACCTATGTGAAACTCCTGTTATGCACACTTAGATCCCCACGGCTTCTGTCTTTCTTAACATTCAGTAAGAGTTTTAATTGTCCATTCATTTAGTGACTATTTAACCTGTCAGAGTCTCTCTATGGAGCCCTCACTGGACCACAGTCTCTGAAAAGTAGAGACTCAATTTCTCTATTACTACTATAGCCCCTAGTACTAAGCACTGTGATTAAGTGTCCAAGAAATGTCTACAAATGAATGAATGGTCATGTTAAAGTAGTCTAGAATGTTGTTTACATAAGGTACTTAAGTTTAGTTCAATCTTTATATATTACTCATTATTTACTAAAGAGCAACTGAATTACTCACGGTGTTCTTTTTGTTTTACAGTCAACTTTGACCACTTTGAAATTTTGCGAGCCATTGGAAAAGGCAGTTTCGGGAAGGTAAGAACCAAAATGATTAACCACTAGCAGAGTATGTAGTTCAGAGAGCCCAAGAATGTTCAGATGAGTTACTGGGACCACAATAAATATGAGATGTTTTTATAATGAGTTTTTATAAAAGTATTGCCACACTTTGAACAAAGTATGTGACAGGCAGCTACATAACAAACATGTATGCTTTCAGCATTATCTCAAAGTCAAATCGGTTTACTCACTGGAGTTTCACACTTTCTCTATGGTAACAGGAAGAGTAAGTTTTCATAATCATTTTCAAATTGTACCAGTACCTTCAGTAACAGTTATCTTGTCAGTGTAAGATATCTTTCCATGAAGGATAGAAGCTGATTTCTGTTTTCCTCAGTTGTACCATATTTTTTTCTTTTTTAAAGACCTACTGGTAAAAAAAAAAAAAACCCTAGCATAAAACATACACATTCAGTCTAATTTTTTATAAGAATCTTCCAGATTCAAATCCTGATTAGCTTCTTTACGGAGACAAACTTAACAGAATATCTTGTATTTCATATTGAACTTGCATTTTAGAATCACCTGCTGTCGACTTTATCTGGCATTATATGAACCTCTTAAAGAATTTTATAAATATGGACATCATAGTGTTTTTCCCAGTGCTTCAAGTCCTTTTTGGTTATATCACTTGTGGTTGCTAAAAGAAGTTCTTTGCACAATATTGTTTATTTTAACATTGAGTCATGCCCATTTCACTCACTAAAATCTGAATAAAAATGTCATCTGTTATGATTCCTGACAAGGAGGAAGTTATTTTCCCCCAATATGTTGTCTTAAAAATCCCCAAAAGCAAAAACAAGCAAACTTGTCTGAGAAAGCAGAGATTTAGAAGTTGACTTGGTACAGGGGAAGGAAAAAGAAATCAGAGCTAAGTGGCAACTTTAACATCAAAGAATTTGCACGACAGGGCCTCCAAGCGGTGCTAACCAGTCTTGTTCTGTCTCATGCCCACGATCCATCACCTCCCTAATCACATTCTCACTCCGGTTGGCACCATTAGGTCTGCATCGTACAGAAGAATGATACCAAAAAGATGTACGCGATGAAGTACATGAACAAACAAAAGTGCGTGGAGCGCAACGAAGTGAGGAATGTCTTCAAGGAGCTCCAGATCATGCAGGGACTGGAGCACCCTTTCCTGGTTAATTTGTGGTGAGTGGTTTTCCTGGACAGTCCTGCCTTCACCTCCAACCCTGTTACATAAACACACCCTGATTTCTACGTGTACAACCCTCATTAGGATCTTTGTGGGACTTTCATTTGCCTTGGTTTGCCTTTCTAAAGAAACGAAATTGTTATAAATACTGTTCAGTTCTGTTGCTATATATCCCCTTGTCCTTGAGGTTGGTATTCTTTTAAAACAGGGGTCCCCAACCCCTGGTTAGGAACAGGGCCACCCAGCAGGAGGTGAGTGAGCTTCACCTGTATTTACAGTATTTACAGCCACTCCCCACTGCGCACATTACTGGGAGCTTCTCCTCCTGACAGATCAGCATTAGAGTCTCATAGGAGCATGAACCAATCTACGCTTGAATCTTCCCCAAACCATTTCCCCCCACCCACTTCTGTGGAAAAATTGTCTGCTACTAAACCAGTTCCTGGGCTTCCCTGCTGGTTCAGTGGTAAAGAATCTGCCTGCAATGCAGGTAACCCAGGTTCGATCCCTGAGTCAGGAAGATCCCCTGGAGGAGGCATGACAACCCACTCCAGTATTCTTGCCTGGAGAATCCCATGAACAGAGGAGCCTGGCGGGCTATAGTCCATTGGGTCACAGAGAGTCAGAAGTGACTAAGCAGCCCCAAACTGGTCCCTGGTGCCAAACAGATTGGGGACTGCTATTTGAAGCACTGTTATTTAATAGGCTGACAAGGAATGAGTTCAGATGTCTTCTCACTCATTACATCTTTTTCCCTATAATTGTGGGGCAAGGACTTTGAGTGCAAAGTATGGCATCGCTGGCGGACATGAAGTTGATTGTTAGTACTTGTACAAAGCGCCTTCTCCTTAAAGTGATGGGCAAGCAACCTGATTTCCTTGCAGCATACTTCTTAAGCAGCCATATACACACCCATGATTTGGAAAAAGATGGGTGCTGCCTTTCTTCCCAAACCAGCTTTAACACAACTGGAGCTAATTTATGTCAGTAGCTAGACATTAAATGACTGATCTGCTCTCAAAGCCATTATCATAATCCAAGGCTTAGAAGATGGCAGAGAGGCTTGCATTATCTATTACTTCGAGGTCTTTATGTGGCGGGCTCATTTTCCTCTACATTTTAATGCATCCATTATATTAGGAGCCAGTTCTTAAAGCTAATGCAGTATGACTGTTATTTAAATATGCATACCAAGCAGTTCTTACTAGTGAAGGAAAAAAAAAACAAAATTTTTTCCCCTTTTTAGTCAGAGAATACTAATGGAAAAATCATTGAAATGTCACTGTGTGTTTAGGGAGATTCTATGGAGGAATCAGTGCATAAAGCCTGTCTCCATCTTTAATTAATACAGCTCACTTCATACACAATTTGCTCAAAGACTCTGTGCTGCAGTTGAAAAGAAGATGGTTGTGTGTGACTTGGAAATAGGTCTATTAGAGTTTATGCATACCTCAGACATAGAGAAGCTAATTTTAAGTACAGCTTCGGTGTATTTAATCAGCATTTTAGAGCGGCCTATTCACAATGCTGCCATGTAAAGAGTTAAACGGATGCAGCTCTTTCTTTCCCATTCTTAACAATCATCAAATTGCCTTTTTTCCTCTCTCTTCACAATGATGAGCCTCCTTTTCTTCAGAGTCACATTGTCCTTCTTCAAAAGTTCAAGCAACTAATTTTCTTCTTTTAAGACCAGGAACCCTTCATAAGGACACACTTAGCATTATACTCTCTCACGCTTGTCTCCCATCGCTGAGTAGGTCAAGTTGATTTCACTCAATTCCCCCCTTTTTAAATAACATGAGTGTTATGAGACTTGAAGCTGGCCAAAGCTTATAGATTTTGCTTTGCTTACTTGGTGTCATTCTAGACGACATTCTCTTCTCCATGCATGTGATAACAGGACATAAATTCTACTCTGCCCTTCTTCTCACCCTGACACTGAATCCTGCATTAGAACCTGGGGCTCCATTAACACTGATAGAAGAGAGAAGAGTTTTCTTACCCTATGATTCTAGCACCACATTCAGTATTGGAAACTGGGAGGGAGCATTCCTAAACATAGAGCGGCTTTTGTCCTTCAAACCTTGAGATAAGTCTTTAGAAAGCATCTTTATTCCTTCTAATAAATGCCTTAATTAGTATAGCATAGTAAATATAAGTGTCTCTTTCCACAACTCTTAAGTACCTTGTAATATTTCAGGAGGTGTGGTTATGAGTAACTTACTTCATAATTCTTAAGTCCCATTGTTAGAATGGGTTAATGTGTGCAACCAGTGCCCAGAATATAGTCTGCATCTTACAAATGGTAGTTCTTACCTTGCTCCATTAAGTCATAGCATTCTGAACGTGCCCAGAACCAATGGCCATTGTGGACCCCAGAAGACAACTTTGAAGGGTACTTGGCCCCACAGCATCATGGCTGTGTGGTGGCACTCACATGCCAACTCATTCCCTATAAAAGCTTATGCTTATTTTTTTTTTCCACCTTTATTCTGTGAATCAAAGAAAAAAAGCTCTCCAGTGTGTTATATACAATTTAATCAGATTTTTATGTCCTGGGTTTAACTAGACTGAGCTTTACATCCCCAAAACTTCAGGAGTTGGTTTTTTTAAGAAGCATCATATGATAAAATTACAGCAATATTTTCTTTAAAAAATTCCTCTGTACCCATTTATGTATTCTGTTTTGCTGATATGATCTGTAGGCCTGTCAATACTACTTATAATAATAATCTTCTCATGGATGCTCAAAATGTCCTTGTGCTCTGGGGATGTTCAGAAAATTCTGGTTTTCAGGATGAAGGAAAACACAAGGTTTTGCACTAATGTTAAGAAGTTGGCTTGTGAATATACTGATATAAACATATATACATATTACATTTGAAAGCATTTCCACTCATGGAAACTTGAAAAGCAGAAGATCACATAGAAAAATGAAAACTCTCCAATAATCCTATCACCTTGAAACAACCACTCCTAACAGTGTGTACTTTCCAGTAAAATATCTGTATTTGATAATGCATGAGTCCCATTCATTCCTTCTTTCATGTATAGATTTCCTGAGCACCACAATTTATAATTAGGGTTGCCAGACACAATCCAGGATGCAAATTAGATTTGAATTTCAGATAAATAACCAGTACCTTTTGGTATATATCCCAAGTATCATACAGGATATTTTTAACTGAAATAGAAATTCAGATAATGAGTGAGTTTAAATGGGCATCTTGTATTCCCTCACTCTGGGGACCCTAATTGTAACACAGATCCATACCGTGGGGATGCAGTGGTGAGCACAAGTAGATAGACCTGCTCACCCACACATTACCAGTAACCGTGAGAGGCTGCTGTTAATCAGAAGGCACATGAATATATCAACTGTGAGAAGTGCATGGAGGGTCTAAGTGCACCTACGGGTTTCAGGGGAGAGGGGAGGAAGGTCATTAATCCCGGAGCAGCAGTGTTAAGGGTGGAAGAAACTGCTGAATTAAAATCCAACCTCCCCAGCCTCCGAAGACTCGGCCCCACCCAGAACACGGTCATCAGATAAAGGTTATGTTAAAAAGTGAAGGCTGCATTTCTCTGATAATGAGTGATGTTGAGTATCTTTTCATGTGTTTGTTAGCCATCTGTATGTCTTCCTTGGAGAAATGTCTGTTCAGTTCTTTGGCCCATTTTTTGATTGGGTCATTTATTTTTCTGGAGTTGAGCTGGAGGAGTTGCTTGTATATTTTTGAGATTAATCCTTTGTCTGTTGCTTCGTTTGCTATTATTTTCTCCCAATCTGAGGGCAGTCTTTTCACCTTGCTTATAGTTTCCTTTGTTGTGCAAAAGCTTTTAAGTTTCATTAGGTCCCATTTGTTTATTTTTGCTTTGATTTCTAAAATTCTGGGATGTGGGTCATAGAGGATCCTGCTGTGATTTATGTCGGAGAGTGTTTTGCCTATGTTCTCCTCTAGGAGTTTTATAGTTTCTGGTCTTACATTTAGATCTTTAATCCATCTTGAGTTTATTTTTGTGTATGGTGTTAGAAAGTGTTCTAGTTTCATTCTTTTACAGGTGGTTGACCAGTTTTCCCAGCACCACTTGTTAAAGAGGTTGTCTTTTTTCCATTGTATATCCTTGCCTCCTTTGTCAAAGATAAGGTGACCATAGGTTCGTGGATTTATCTCTGGGCTTTCTATTCTGTTCCATTGATCTATATTTCTGTCTTTGTGCCAGTACCATACTGTCTTGATGACTGTGGCTTTGTAGTATAGTCTGAAGTCAGGCAGATTGATTCCTCCAGTTCCATTCTTCTTTCTCAGGATTACTTTGGCTATTCGAGGTTTTTTGTATTTCCATACAAATTGTGAAATTATTCGTTCTAGTTCTGTGAAAAATATCGTTGGTAGTTTGATAGGGATTGCATTGAATCTGTAGATCGCTTTGGGTAGTATAGCCATTTTGACAATATTGATTCTTCCAATCCATGAACACGGTATATTGGGTGTGGAGAAAAGGGAACCCTCTTACACTGTTGGTGGGAATGCAAATTAGTACAGCCACTATGGAAAACAGTGTGGAGATTTCTTAAAAAGCTGGAAATAGAACTGCCATATGACCCAGCAATCCCACTTCTGGGCATACACACCAAGGAAACCAGATCTGAAAGAGACACGTGTACCCCAATGTTCATCGCAGCACTGTTTATAATAGCCAGGACATGGAAGCAACCTAGATGCCCATCAGCAGATGAATGGATGAGGAAGCTGTGGTACATATACACCATGGAATATTACTCAGCCATTAAAAAGAATTCATTTGAATCAGTTCTAATGAGATGGATGAAACTGGAGCCCATTATACAGAGCGAAGTAAGCCTGAAAGATAAAGACCATTACAGTATACTAACACATATATATGGAATTTAGAAAGATGGTAACAATAACCCTATGTGCAAAACAGAAAAAGAGACTCCTATGTATAGCACAGACTTGTGGACTCTGGGAGAAGG